ACTGGAGATAGATTGTCCTTTGACATTCTCTGTCAGTCTGAGGCTCTCTTTTACCCTGCCATTAGATTATTGGCAGTCATCCCTGACTCCTCCATCTTCTGCACATTCTCATATTCTAGTAATTATCAATGACTACTGAATTAACTAATCAGTGGGTCTCGGCCTTAGTTGCTAATTAGGATCACCTGGGAATCTTTAAAAAATATCCTAGATCAATTAAAACAGAATCCCTGGGAGTAGAGCCTGGGAATTTGTGATTCTGATGTGCAGAGAGAATAGGAAACTACTTTTCTCAATATTTCTCACACATGTCACTTGTGTTTTACCTCTACTACCACTACTACTCCATTCAGTTCTGCCTCATCACATAATGCCTATTTCTCCATTGGCCCCTTGCCTTCAGTCCTACTCAGTATCCATCCGACTCAGTATCCAACTGGCCATCCCAGAGAACATTCTTAAAGATGTAGTACTGTCACCTCCCTTGCCTCTTCTGTTCCTATTATATATGCTTTCCTGGCTTAAAAATCCTTCAGTGTTTTCCCATCCAAAAAAATAAAAACCAAGTTCTTTAATTGGATACATTAGGCTAAATTTTAATGTATTCGTCACTTGACATTTTTTATCACTTGTTAACCATTCCCTACTTCCCACAAAATGAAAATTTTTATTTTCTCTTCACACAGATCTTTTCTTTAATGTCCCTGCTAACAAGCAGTCTCCTGACTAACACTACTCTCTCATGATTAACTGTTAATTTTATTAATGTTATATGTATTGTCTTAGTAATTACTTTTTCCAAGTTGGGTGGGCTGCCTTTCCTCAGTTTCTCATAATGATCTCTGCCTGCAGATACCATAGCTTTTACCATGTGAATATGTAAGGATCTCTTTTTGAACCTGACTTCTCTTTAGGAACAATGATTCGTCTTTGTATTTCCTGGTTTGTAGAATAATTCTTGTCATATATTAGACCCTCCAAAAAGGCTGAATGAACAAATGAGTGAGTGAATGGTTAGAAATCATAGCTGAAAAAATACGGATGCATAGGAGGTTATGCTTCTTGAAAATGACAAGAAAGCCTTTAAAGCAGAAAAGGATAATTTTTGTACATTGAAAACAGAAACTTAGTAACCAATAGGGAAGCCTTTTTTTTAGATTTGGTATATACTATATCCATTTAGATTGACATTGTCAGAGTTACTATTGGAGGGAATATTACTTTTCTCATTTATATATTCATTTAACATCTTTCTGTGCTTCATGTGGCTTCTTGAGAAGAAAAGTGAATAAACAGTTGGTCACTGTTAATATTAGCATGATTAGCAGATAATTTTTCACATACAGCAATTACATTGTTTTGTACTATAAGTTAATCTCTTATTAATTTAGGCTTCCTATTTATATTTTTCAGTCTCTAATTACCATGGTCAAATTTGTCAGTTCCCTTTTCTGCCAAACTGAGAGATGTGATGAATACCAGGGTCCCCCACACTTAAAATTATGAATTTATATTTTGATGGAAAGTAAAAATAAAAATCTGATGCTGTGCTAATTTGACATAAATAAGGATGCATTGATTGTTGATAAATTATTCTGACAAATTCTTTTAACATCACATTTTTTATCCAAACTCTTGAAGTTAAAATTCTTATTCACATATTTTTCTGAAACATGGAAAAATGTACAGTGAAACATGAAGAATGTAATGCAGGTATGAAAAACTGAAACCAGAATAAAGTGGTAGGAAGAAAGAAAAACCTGTAGTTTTAGTTGGTTATGGGCTTCCCTCAACAAAAACCACATTACCTTCCCGACTTTTTGCAGCTAAATTTGGCCATGAATCTAAATTCAGATTTGAGCTGTTTAATAAAAGTATTTGTGGAAATTTGTTAATAGTAATTTAAAGGAAACTGATTCTACTGGAATTATGATTTGTCCTTCTGACTCTCCTCTTAGTTTTTAGCCTGAAAATTCGAGGCAATGGCTGGAGTGCCAGCAGTCATCTTGGGATATGAGTGATTTGAAATACGGAAGCCAGGTACTGGGCCAGTGCAGAGTATGGGAACTTGAGTCTGAGAAAATTTTTGAGCCACAATGTTTACCTGTAATTCTTATCTTTAGACTTTTTCTACATGTGAGAGAAATGTGGTTGTATTTTGTCATTGTTAATTCTGTAGTCATTCTGCAAGTATTTCAGTTAAACCCAAACAAAAATTTAGAGTTCGGTTATGATGACAGATTAGCCAATGGATCAGAATTTGTCACTACCAATTATTAGTAGTTGTTGAAAGGATGAATGAAAATGTATTCCTTTTATGGAAAAATGACTTGTTAAACTACACGACTAGGCTATATAGTTTTTATTTCTTTCTAACTGAATTTGTGTGCGTGTTCTGTCTGGTAGATTAGCATTTTGTTTTGTGTTTTTTTTTAGTGGGGGTAGTCTGTGATGACTTGAAGGCAGATTTGGTATAGAAAAGGTAACATCTTCTTTGGGAATGTGACTTAAGTGAATTGCCCATTGTGTGGAAATGGGAACAGTTTTGTATATCTTAAATAATGTCCTTAAACAGTCCATCCATTCAACATTTCTTTTTTGCCTCATGGGGGTCAAATAGGTTATGAGAGGGTTCTGTCAACTCACATCTTATATTACAGGGGTCACTTGTGAATTTAGAGAAAACAGAAAGAAAACTGAACAGAAGTTAAAATATTTTATCTCAGAGAGGTACTCCCCCTCCAAAGATATATATTTATTTCTATGTTTAAATACAGCAGTACATGAAAAAATGTTCAAGATCCCAGGTGGATTCGAGATGGCTTTGAAAAATAGATAGTTGAGAATAAAGTCCTTGATTATATGGACACACACATATGTATGTATATGTAATACACAAACACACACGTATATGTATATCCTTGTGTGTATATACCTGCATGTATAACAGTTTACAGTGCCACAAAACTTGTCATTTGTAACCATATGATATACTTGACACCACAGACTATACCATTTCCTCATTCTCATCACTTTCCATAACAAAATAATATAAATGGAGTGGCACATGCATCAACATGTTTAAAAAGACTATTTGGCTAGGGCTGCCACATTTAGCCAGTTACCAATATAAATAATACACTTAGTTACAATGCTCTGTTAAGTCACTGTCTGGCTATGTGTAAAAAAACCTTCTATACATGGTTTCCATCTTTTTGGATTTATTTTAAAGGTGATCCAACATTTTTGTTTGTTTTTTGTATGCAAAACATCACACCAGAAAGCCCAAGGTGTAAAGTATATTCAACACTCTCAAAGGTAGCAGCAAAAAGTTCCAAAACATGGAAATTCATGGGCGATTGTTAGTACCATATGTGATAGCATTGAAATAAAAAGAAATGAGTTTGTTTAATATACGATCTTGTTGAAAAAAGGGTCCTGGCACAGTAGCTTTTCCATTTTAAAACTAGCCAGATATGCTCCTTTTTATAGACATAGAAGACAGTTACAGAAAGAGTAAAAGGGCTGGAAGAGAATAGCAGCAAATATGAGGTAGCTTTTAAAACAGAAATCTATGGAGAGTGAAGATGACTCAGACAAAAATAGAACAGCTGAATTCTGTTATTTATGTGAAACTTTAACTGAAAAAAAGTATAATACATAATACATACACACACACACACACATATATATATATATATATATTTATTTATTTATATTTATTTATTTATTTAGGTATTGGGGATTGAACTCAGGACCTTGCATTTGCAAGGCAAGTGGCAGCACCACTGAGCTAAATCTCTGGCTCCTCCATAACACCTATATTAGTACTTCCCATTGTCTGGTACTTTTACTGCCCTGGCCTGATTAGCAGAGACTATTTGGTCAGCGTTGTCAACTGTTTCCCTTTTTCATTAGACTGATGTTTAATTTGGAATCTCTCTAGAACTGATAGCAAACACTAAGAAATTTAGGAAGTTTTAGTTGGCAATCAGGTTTTACCCTTAGTCTACACTATGTGAGGTTTATACTTCATTTTTGACGCTTAGTGACTGTTGCTCTTTTTTTGACAGGCAACAAGAAATACTGTTTTAGACCTGTCTGGCTGCTGTCCTGGGTTGAGGAGTTTGGCAGCCCTAGGGAGATGAATTTCTTAGGGCTGGGACACGCCCAGAGAAGGGAAGCAACACCCTTCTAGCCTCTACTCTGTTGCTATGAAACAAAAGACTAGGAAGGTGAGCGGAGCAGGAAGTCCCGCCCTTGAGCCCAGTTGGCTCTGGCTCCCGCTCCCTACAGTCACGCCTACACTCACGCCCCTCATTGGTTAGCACTCTACTGCCTTGGTACTCTTCTTCCATTTCTTTTCCCCTCTTACACTTTGGTTCCCAGGCAGCTTAGGTCCGTTTCTGTCCGAGTTACTCTGACTTTGGGACCTCAGACGTGGGGGCCTTCCTTTGGGGGCCATTGTGTACTGTAGAGGACGTGGACCCGGGGGTAGCGCCAACGGGACAGGCGCTTCTCGCCCATTGGCTGCGCTTGCTGTCGGGCAGCGCTCAGGCGCGCGGAATAGGTCGAGAGGGTTGAGGCCCCGCCTCTGCCCCGCCCCGCGGCTGTCTGTGTATGTTACCGGGGTGGGGTGGCCAGCGAGTGGTCTCCTCCTCCAGCTCTTGCTGCTGCGGCCTCCCCGCGAGTCGGGCGGGAGGGGAGAGCTTGTGTGGATTTGTCTTGACGGTAATTCTTGCGTTTCCACGTCTCGGTGGCCTGAGCTCTAGGCTGCTCCTTCCCCGGAGCGTGCTACTACGGTGATTACACATTCCCCGCCCGGGCTCCCTAGCACCCCGGCTGCGTGCGTGTGGAGTGGGACCCGCGCGCACGCGTGGCCCCGGGAG